ATAATATTTTCAACATATTTAGTAATATTACAACGAATAATAATATCAGTGCAATATTGTATAAATTCATATTTAATAATAAGCCATTGATCAATTGGCATTATATCCATTTTTTCTTCATCAGCAATTATATACATTATTAATTGTTCATAAGTTATATATTTAAATAATTCTAATGTAACAAATGTAGTTGGTGGAATTAATTTTCTTAAAATATAAGGATAATTAACCCCTTTGTTCTTTCCAATCCAATATCCAATATCAAAAATATATCTAACTATATTTTTTTTCATACTAATTGAAACAGATGAAGATGTAAATAATCTAACACAAATAGAAAGATAATCAACTGCACATCCAATATCTCCTTTATTAACATTTGATAACAAAAATTGTAGAATAATATTATAGAAATTAATTTCTTCACATTGATTTCTTAATATTTCATTCCGTTTAAATATTGCTGATAGTAATTGTAAAATAGAAGGAATATTTGAAGTATTAAATTTTTCATAACTAAATCCAAAATGAAGTAATGAACAAAATGGAATAATACCACCAATTCTTAAAATTATATCATCAATTCTAAATAATGATCCACAATAAACAGGTGAAAATGATGAATTAATTTTACTTGAACAAACATTAACAATATTAGTTTTATTTGATTGATTTTTAACTGTTGTAACAATTTTATAAAATGGTTTATCTCCAATAATCATTGATTTTAATGGTGATATTTGTACTGCAAGAAATGTATTTTTATCATTTCTTAATATTATATTATTTGTTAAAAATTTTTGTACTGACTCAATTGATTCATAATTATAATACCATTGAAATCCAGTAATATCTCCTACAAAACAAAAACCTGGTTTATCACAATCACCACCAATTTGAAGTAAAACAATATTACTTGATAAAAAATTGGGATAAGAAACAGTTAAATTTGATAAAATATATCCATTACATTGAATTTGAAATGAACCATCATTTTTATGTAATAAATAAATTGAATACCATTCATTTAACATAATAGGAATTTGAGTATCATAAACTCTAGTCATACTCATTCTATTATTCATTATCATTTTCTTTTCATACCCTGATGACATTAAACAATCTGTTTTTAATATTAAATGATGATTTTGTGTATTAATACAAAGTGATATTTCATATGAATTAGTAGAAAAAGAAAATATTAATGGTGTATTTCCTTCAACAAATTTAGTTGGTCTAAATGTTGTATGATAAATTGAACTTTCTTTTGGCCATTCATTAATTGAAAGAACACAATTAATTGAAGTACCAAACCCTGTAAATGAATAATAAATTCTTGGAATATTTTTCTTTGATAAAGTATGAACAAGTGATTGTGTTAATTGTGATGATTGTGTTAGTGGAAGTAATGAGTAAAGTTGCATAAATTCTTTGACTAATTCCATATCCAAATAAAACCCAATTCTTTTAGATAGAATATCAATCATATAATATGCTGTATGATCACTAGAACAATGTTTTAATTGATTAATAATATATTTAATAATTTCTTTTGTTATTAATGAAGCATTGACTGGATTAGAAATAAGACCACTTAAAGTTCCAAATACTTCTTCACTCTATGTAATTAATTTTATAATTTCAATGACTAATAAGTTAAATTATTACCAAACTATTTCTTTGTTTTTTTGTAATTTTAATAATAAATCACCTTCAATTAAATAAACAAAACTATCAATTGGTATGTCTGGATCATATTCAATTCCACAAAGAGTCTTAATACCAATAATGTAGTTTGAATAAAGATTAATACTCATCAATCTGTAAAATATTAATTCAATTTTTATTAAAACATTTATTTTTTCTAATTCATTGTCATTTTTTTTTAATTTTTTAAAAAGGAATTATAATAATAATAATAATTATTATTTTATTTAAAATTATTTATTTTTGATGTTTTATTATTGAACTGAAAAATAATTTTAGATTTTACTTTAAACAATAATGCAATTAGAATTCATTTTCTCAAGTTTCTTTTCAAATAATTTTAATTGAAGAATAAACCCTGATTCAATGTCAATTAATGGATATAATCCTTGAACTTTATTAAACGCATTAATAAAAGATAAGCGTTGATAATACATTAAAAAGGCAATAACAATTGCAGGTGCTTTATTAACTCCTGTTCCACAAATAATTAAAACACCTTCTTTTCTTTGAATAGAACGAATAATAAATTTAATTGCATTTGGTATTGAGTCATATAATTGATGTCCTTCTTCTGAAACAATGTCTAATCTTAAAATATCACATTGATCTTTAAATAAAGAAGGAACTTCAATTCCAACTAATAAAATTGATGAAATATTATTATTGTGAATATAATCTACATTATGTGCATTTAAAAATGATCCTAAATGAATATATTGAATAATTTGTGTTGGACTTAATGTAGGAAAAGTTAAAACTTGATATGGAGGAGTAATATGAATTGTTTCTAAATAATAATTTCCACCAATTTTTAAAAGTTCAAGAGAAGGATGAAATACAGGAAAACATTCTAATAAATTCATTCTAAAATATTAAAATTTATTTTAATTATAAAAAAAATACCCAAAAGATATTTCTAAAACAAATAAAACAAACGAAATATCAATTGTTTTAAGATATTGTAATGTTGTATAAATTGGTGGTAATACTAACAAATCATTTGATGAAAGATTTAATGAAGTTAAATTAGATAAAAGAGTTAAATCAATAGGAAATTTATTTAATCCACAAGATTGTAATGATAATTCTTTTAATGATAATGGTAATTTTGAAAGAAACGGTTCTGAATTACAATTATTTAAATATAAAGTATTTAATGAACTACATTTTGTTATATCTAAATGTTGTAATGGATTAATTGAAATATCTAAAAATGTTAAATGATTTAATTCTAATATAACACTAGTTAATTTATTCATTGAACATTTTAATTCTATTAAAGATTCATGAGAAATATCTATTGAAGTTAATTGATTTGAAATAATATTTAGAGAAGTTAATGATAAAATAGGAGGAAATGAAAATATTCTATTAAATGAACAATCTAAATTCAATAAATGATTCATTGGTGGAATAGCAGCAATATTATTATGAGAAATATTAAGTTCAGTAAGTGTACTAAAAGAATTACATTGATATAATTCATTATTTCGAATATTTAATTTTTTTAACGATGGAGGAACAAAAGGAATAGTATTTAATTTATTAAACGATAAATCAATTTCTTTTAACATGACATATTCTCTAAGATCTCTAATTAATATAAAATTATTTGAAGAAGCATTTAATCCTGTAACTTCATTTTCAATACAATATTGTGAAGTTAATGGAAATTGAGAAATATGAAGAAGAGAAATATCAAGAAATCCATCATGAAGAAAATCATTAAGGTTAATAGTCATAGAATAAAAACGAATGAAAAACGTTTTTAACTGAAAAAGGTTTTCATTTGAAAATTACAAAAACAAAAAAAAACAAAGAAATAATAGTTAATTAAAAAAAAATTCAATAAAAAAATTACATTTCTAAAGAGTCATAAAATCTGCTTGTGATGGATTAAATGATAATGCTGGAACAATCGTCCATTTTGTACTATCAAATTCCATCCATCCATTTGGAGTTTGAATTACCCATTTACTATATTTATTTGAAAACCGCCATTTCTTTTCCATTAATTGTTTTGCTGCTTTTAATTGACTTTCTTCTCCAACCATTACATAAAACATATAAAATAAAATAAGTTCATTTTTAAATACACCAATTCTTTCTCCTGGATCATTAATTTCTTTAGATTCAATATGATAATAATTTGGAATATTATTCTTTAATGATGGAAATGGTGTATTAAATGATCCACATATATGTTTAGGAGTAGAAAGATCAATTCCAAGTGAATTTAAATCAATACCTTTCATTAATAATGAGTCAAGTGTTTGTTCATTATTATCACTTAATAATATTTCTACTCCTGAAAGTCCATATTCCTCAATATTTTGTGGTAATGTTCCTTTCATTTTTGAATCTTCATATGTTTGTTGCATTAATTGTCGTTGATATTGAGGCGTTTGTTTTTCTCTTTGTACTGATGCCATTCTTTAAATTTTTACTGTTCATTTTCAGTTTCTTTTTTCTTCTTTTTTTTTTAGTTTTATTAAAAAAGAACTGCTTATTATGACAGAACTTTGAATAAAACTATAAAATAGAAAAATGAAACTATAAAAAATCATCTTAAAACATTATGGGAAATACACTATCCACATCATCTGATGTACTTAATTCATTAGACCTTACTGATACTTGTGGTCTTGATGAAGTAGAAAATATTGGAAATGATTTACTTACTCATTCAGTTCGTGCAAGAGACACTCGTTCACGAAGGGTGTTAGTTACAAAATTGTATTCGGTTCAACCATCAGATGGAGATAAAATAAATGAACTTCTTCAACGATTACATACTGTTAATAAATCAATTGTAAATATCACTGGATTACTTGGTTTTGTAACAAAAAAAGCTGGTAAAAATGGAAGTATTATTATTTACCAACGTCAATATCTTCCATATAATTTAGCTGATCGTGTACGTACAGCACCATTTTTTACATTACAAGAAAAAGTATTTATTGCTTATCAACTTATAAATGCAGTTAATTCATTACATTCCTTACATATTGTTCATGGTGATATTAAACCTGAAAATATTTTACTTACATCTTCAAATACTCCATATCTTTCTGATTTTGCACCTTATAAACCATTTTATATTCCTGATGATAATCCTTATGATTTAAATTTCTTTTTTAATCGTTCTACATGTATTGCTCCTGAACGTTTTCAACCAAATCTTAAAGTTGATAAAATGTTTACTGAAACTACACCATCTGCTGATATATTTTCATTAGGATGTGTATTAGCTTATTTATTCCTTGAAAATTCATTATTTGATGTGAGTAATATTCTTGATTATAAAAATGGTAAATTTTCAATAACTAATACTCTTTCTGCTATTCAAGTTGATTTTATTCGTGAATTAATTCTTTTAATGGTTGATGCTACTCCTGAAAAACGTCCTACAGCTCAACAATGTTTTGAAATATGTGAAAAGAATGTCCCATCTTATTTTTCTTCATTACTTCAATTATCATATCTTTCACAACAAAATTCAGCAGAATTCGTTCTTCCAGATATTATTTCTTTCATTCGTGAACAATTAAAGATAGAAAAACCAAATGTTCCAAAAGAAATAATTGAAAAAGAAATTCAAAGTATTCCTGATGAAGCTACTTTATCTCATTCTTCTCAACTTGCTGTTGAATTAGATAAATTAACTAATCAAACAGAAGAATTACATAAACATCTTGAAGTATTATTAAGTCGACAATGGGGTGATTTAAAAGCAAGGTCTGATGCTTTAAATTCAATGAGAAAATTAACAGAACAAATAACAGTTTCTGATGAAAAAGAAAATGTTGTAAATGAAGTTGAAGAAACTAAGAAATATTTTAATAAACAAGAAGAACCATTTATAAGTACTAGCATTATTCTTTATATATTATTTAGTATAAGAAGAACACGTGAAAATATTTTAGAAAAAATACTTTCAATTGTTGATATTTTAATTCATTATTCTGATGATGAAGCATTATATATGATCATTACACCTGGATTAGTAGATTTAATTATTGGTACTTCAAGTAATCCAATTAAATCTCATAGTTTAAAGTCATTAATTTTAGCTTTAAAATATATGAAAACACTTCCTCCATCAGCACATTTATTATTCCCAAATTATATTTGTCCAGCTATTGAACAAACTATTGTTAATCAACAAAATATGTCATTCACAATTACTTACGCTTCATATTTTTCACAACTTTTAGAATTATCAAAAAAATTATCATTAAAAGAAGAAGATGGTTCAATGAAAGCTTCTGAACATGAAGTCTTATGTAAGTTCTTTTTGGAATCATATAAACAAATGCTTTTAAAAAAGAATTTCCACATAACAAGAAATTTAATTAAATCATATTCTGCTTTAACTTTGTTCTGTGGATATCAGAAAAGTTATAATGAATTACTCCAATATATTACTCAATTCCAACAATCAGACCCAATATTAATTGTTTATTTCTTAGAACAAATTCCATTAGTCGGTAAAGTATATGGAACTAAAGTTTTTGAATTACATTTCTATCCATTATTACAACAATACCTTTATAGTACTCATGAATATTTAGTTTATCAAACTCTCCTTTCAATTACTAGTTGTATTTCACTCGATATTATTTCAAGAAGTTATATTTATAGTATTATTCCTTCTGTTTGTCCTTTATTAGTTCATCCTAATATTACATTACGTCAAACAACAGCATTATTACTTGAAGTTATTGCTTCAAAGTTGAGTGATGCCCAACGTCATTGTTTCTTATTACCTCATGTCAATAGTATGTTAAGAATTAAATTATTTAATATTACAGCTTCTCATATTAATGCATCACTTTTAAGTTCAATTCCAAGAAATGCATTAAGATCATTTGACCGAAATGATTTTTCATCAACAATGCACATTGAAGATATAGTAACTAAATTAGAAAATACAGGAGTAACTAATCCTGATAAATGTTTAAGTAAATTAATTCCTTATTTAATAGCAGTAAAAGAGCATATACCTCGATTGAGTTTACAACAACAAACTTCAATTAATCGTTTAACTGATGAATTAAAAGTTCATCAACAATTACCATTATGGGGAGTAAATCCAGATGATCCAAACCATACTTATATTCCAATGCAAAATCCAAATACTCCATGTCCACGTGATAGTTCTCGTTATATCACAGTTATTAAAGGTTCAGCTCCACCACGTTTACGTAGTATTCCTGATCTTGGATTTGTTGATTCTGAAATTCCATCACCAAAACATGAAATAATTCAAGGGATTTGTGTTGCTCATCTCACAGAACATCGTGCACCAATTACTTCAATTAGTGTTGGATCAAATGGAATTTTCTTTGTAACAGGAGATTCTACTGGTATTATTAAAGTATGGGATATTCTTGGAGTAGAATCACTTGAAGTTATGAGATCTAAAGTTACTTATAAAGGTCCAAGTGGTGTAAGTTCAATTGGAACTATTGCAAAAAGTAATGGTATTGTAATTGGGTATAGAGATGGTACTATTGAATTACATAGAGTTTGTGTTCAAGGAAAAAAATCAACTGTGATGTCAATGAATTTAATAAAAAGTATATCTCTTGGATCAAAAATTATAGCTATTCAAAAGAATGCAGATGCTAAAGCAGTTACTATTGTTTGTGAAAATGGTACATTAGCAGTATGGGATATTAGAGATAAAACAGTAGGAATTAGAAAAGAAAATGATGCACGTTTAGGATATGTTTCTGCAATGGCTGTTGCACCAAGTGGAGAATATTGTATTGTAGGTACTAATAGAGGTTATCTTGTTTGTTGGGATTTAAGACATACAATTGCAAATATTGGATGGAGAGTACCAACTCATTCTGCTATAACAGAAATTGTATTTATTAAAGAAGAAAATATAGCAACTAATACAAGAGATGGTGATGTTTTTTGTTGGGATATTAAGAATCAAAACTTAAAATCATTACTTCATTTTGAAGATTTTGGAACAGAAATACCTGAATTAAGTAGTATAATTGAAAAAGTTGAAAGAAGTAGATTTAAACCATCATTTAGTATGGGACCAGATGACTATGGAGTACAACAACTAGATAATCTATTACAAAATCTTCAAAAATGTATTGCACAAAGTAAGAATAATATTTATTTACCATATTTAATAAATACATCATTAATAGCATTTGATCGATTTATTATTTCAGGTGGAAGTGATCATATTTTAAGATTTTGGGATGTTGAGGATAGTCAAAATAGTCTGTCATATGCTATTGGTGATTTTAAAAAACCACCAACATTTGAAATATTAAATGAAAATAATATTACTTGTATAAAATGTTTCCCAGTTGATAGAGAGAAAAGAGGAATTGGAATAAGTGATAATGATCATCATTTAGATGCAATTACTGCTCTTTCAATGTTACCTTCAGCTCAATCATATTATTTATGTAGTGCTTCACGAGATGGAATAATTAAAATTTGGAAATAATTAAAAAAAAGTTATAAATGAATTATTTCTTTGTGATTTCATCACATTGTTTTTTACGTTCCATAATCATTTGTCTTTGTTCATTCATTCTATTAGTAACATCCATTACAGCATTCATAGAATCATCAGCCATCTTTGTAGTTTTAACATTTAATTTAGCAACTGAATCAAGAATTTCAACTGTTTTTTGGTTTGTCTTCTTCATTGCTAAATAGTCTTCACGATCTTTTCCCGTTAATACTCTTAATGCCATATCTTCTCCTTCAGTAAATTTAATTTGACCTTTAATACCTGAACAATTCATAAATGTTTTTGTAATCATTAAATCTCCATAATCAAATACTTGTGAATTTGGTTCAAATGTAACACTTAACTGTTTATTAAATATTTTTAAATATCTAATATAAATTTCATTTACAATAAATTGAAGACATGTTGAACAAAGTCTAATTCTTCCTTTTTCTTTTCCACTTTGATTTAAAGCAATTTGTAAATGTAATGGTCTTGCTCTCATATATAATCCAAGAACATCTTGAATTGAAAAAGAACGTGATAATGTCTTCTTTTTATTTGCTGTAGTTTCAACAATATCAATATGATCATCAAATATTTTCATTGTTGCTGGTACTAAATCATCATTTTCTAATTTCCATAAAATTTGAATTTCAACTGGAACTGGTGGAGTTTCTTTAATTGCTTCAATAAGTACAGGAATTTCTTCTTTTGGAGGTGGTACTTGTTTTGTTTTTGTATACCTTAATCTTAATTCATAAACAAGTGATTTTGTTGCTTTAATACTATCATCAATTTCTCCTAAATAATTATCAGTTTTATCTAATAATTGATCAATCATTGCAATTTTTCTTTGTTGTTGTTCAAGTAATTTATAATTTTCTTCTTTAATTTTTTTCATTTCTTCTGCTGTTACTAATGCTTCTTGTGCTGTTTCTATATCAAATTTTCTTTGACTATTACTTTCATGATCATCAACTGTATGTTGTTTATAAATATTTAAATCTAGAACAGAGAAAGGATATTTATACATGTAATACATTAAATTGAAACACTCTTCTTCTTGTGATTGAGGAACAAAATAATACATTCTTCCTTCATTATCATAAATCTTAATTTCATTTGTCATTTCTTTAATACTAGAAATTTGTATTTTAACATATAATTTCTTTCCATATTGAGACCTAAAACAAAAGTAATTTTGTGTAATAAATAATTTTCCTTTAATACTATTGTTATTACTTTTGTTTATCACTTTATAACATTGAACAACATCTTCAGTATCACTTAATGAAAAATCTTGACGAACTTCTTCACTCATCTTCATAAGATCAGCTGCTGCAGATCTATCTCTTGCTTCAATTCTTTGTGAAACCTTCTCACTCATCTTCTTGAAATAACTGATTAAATAAGTTTTTAAAATAAGTACCAGTAAAATAAATTATTAAAACTTTTTTTTTAAATTATTAGAATATTTCTATATTCTTTGAAGTTCCACACATTCTTTTTCTTCTATTTTTCATTCTTTATCCTTTTTTACAGTTGATTTATACATCTGTCTTTTTATTTAGTGCTGTTTTGAATAACAAAATATTTTTATTTTTGCTATTGTTATTAAAATAAAATAAAACCAAATTTCCTTTTGTCTTCTCATTACTTCTAAAATACCATAAAAATTCTTAGATCTTGTTTCAATCTTTGAATTTACAATGACATTTGAATATAAAGAAACATTTCATCAATTAAATGGATTTAATATTTATTCTAGAGAATGGAGACTTAAAGAAGCAAAAGCAACAATTATTATTCTTCATGGATATGGAGAATATTCTGGTAGATATACAAAAGTTGGAGAATTTTTTGTTAATTCTGGGTTTAATGTTTTTATGCTTGACCTTCCAGGTCATGGAAGGTCATCTGGTATTCCTAATAAACCAAAAACATTTATTAATTCAATGGAAACTTATATTAATACTCTTAATGAATATATTGAATTTGTTAAAGATGATATAGAAGAAAGAGGAATTTCACTCCCTCTATTTTTTATGGGACATTCTATGGGTGGTTTACTTACATCAATTTTAGCAAGTAGAAGAAAGGATATTACTGCATATGTTGCATCAGCACCTGCCTATGTTATTAATAACAACATAGTTTATTACTTATATTATTTGTTTATAATAATCATATTTTTCTTCCCTTCTTTAATGGTTCCAACTAATCCAGCTGATGAAATTTTTACAAATAAAGAAGTTGCACGAGAATATGATAATGACCCTTACACTTTAACAGCTAAAGCATCAGGTAAAACAGGATTAGAAATGGCACGATATGGTGATGTTGAAAAAGATCGTGATTTAACAGTCCCATTTTATTTAATGCATGGATCTGGAGATACATTAATTAAAGTAGAAGGAGCAAGAAATAAAGCAAAACATCTTAAAAATCCACTTTCAAAATATGTTGAATATCCTGGAGCAAACCATGTTCTTTTAGAAGAAGATAATCAACAAGAAATGTTGATTGATATTAACAAATGGTTAGACTCTGTTATTCAATCTCAATAACATTTTTCATATTTTTTGTTTTATTAAATTTTTTTATTAAAATATTAATTAATTTATTAAAATGATTTTTTTTAAGATCTTATTTACCATAAAAAAATAAAAATAACTTAAAAATCAACAACAAAAAAATATATTTTATTTCTTTGATATGAAAAGTCTTGTCATTCTTTTATTAGTTGTAAGTGTTTTATCTCAATCACAAAAATTTGAAAACATGGGAACAGACAATGTATTAAATGTTTTATCAAACCTCGAAGCTGACATTCGTGATATTGAAACAACAGAAGCAGTTATTAGAGGAGATATAGAATATGATAGAAATTTACATCAAATGCATTTAACTAAATATGAACAATTCCAAATTAAACATGAACTTGCATTTTATAGAAAACAATTAAAACAAACATTAAAGGTAAAAAAAGTATTAGCTCAACGATTCATTAATTTCTTGAATAAAGTTCCAAAAAAAGCAGTGAAAATTTTTGAAAAGAAGTTTAATTTACCAAAGAGAATAACACTTTTAAAAAAATGGGCACAAGGTCAAAAATTATACATTGAATAAAATTAAGTTAATTTAAAAGTACACAATTCTTTGCACTTCAATTTCTTTTAATTTTAATATATAAATATTATTTTTTTTTTTTGTTTATACAATTTAAATTAAATAATAATACTTCAAAAATTCATTTATTATATTTTAACCTCGTAATTCTGTAATAACTCCTTTACCAATAGTTATTTTATTACATCTTAAGAAGAAATGACTAAATGCATCATTATTCACACGAGTATCAACACATAATGGTTTTTGAAGAATGATCTCTACATTAGCTTGAATTATGTCTTTTAATTTTTTTGGTCTAACTTTAACATCTTGTATTCCTGAGAAGAAGATTCGTGCAAAAACACAGGGTGAAGAACCAGTTGAACAATAAAATGACATTAAAGTTCCTCTTCTAATAATTAAATCTCTACAATTCAAATCAACAGTTGCATGAAACTTTTTATAATATATTGGTGGTTCAGCTGGTGATCCAATAACATATCCTTTCATTATGTTAAGATTAGTTCCATCAACTTGTATTTCAACAATATCTCCTGCACCAGCACAATCAATAATTTGATTTCCTTTTTTGATTTTTTTTATTACTCCATGAGTTTGAGTTGGGTAAATAATAACATCATCTTTCTCTCCAATAACACCAGAAGAAATGATTCCAGTAATAACACTTCCATTGCCTTGTTTATAAGAATCATTACAAATAAATCTTAATGGTTTTTCAATGTCATGAAATTGTGCACTTTCTTCAGAAATTACTGAAAGTAAACTTTCTTGACACCATTTACAGGAAGTTGTTGGTTTTATTAAATTCTCTCCTGAAAGTCCACTAATAGGAATATATCGTATATTTATATTATCAAGGTTATATTCTTTTAATAATTCTTCAGCAACACTAACAACACTTTTATATTTTGATTCACTCCATTTCACAGAATCCATTTTGTTAATAGCAACAATAATTTTTGATACAGTTGAATATGCTAATGTTGAAACAATATCTAAAAATGTTCCTTCATACGTACATTTTAAATTATGTTTATCAACATCTACAACAACAACAGCTACATCTGCTTCATTCATTGCATCAATAGTTTTCATAAGAAAATCTGTATGTCCAGGTGCATCTAATATTCTAATATTTTTATGATTATATTGGAATTCAACAGCTCCAACAGATATAGTAATTCCTCTATTTCTTTCTTCATCATCAGTATCCATAACCCATGCATATTCAAATGACTTCTTTCCTTTTTCTCCACATTCTTTTTTGTTTTTTTCAATTTGTGAATGAGTAACACCTCCAAGTTCTTGTAAAATATGACCAACTGTTGTTGACTTACCTGAGTCTACATGACCACAAAAAATAACAGTTAATGGTGTTTGATTTGTTTTGTGCATTTCTTTTACTTTGTTGATGATTTCTGAATGTCTTTTTTGAGAATGTTGGACTGTTGGCATTGAATGTGGAGATGGAAGTGGACTTGGAGTCTTATGAGTAGTTGGTTTATTTTTTGGAAGAGGAGACTTAGTAATTGGGATTGGTGTTTTCATTTTTGGTGGTTGTTTATCCATAATCTTTGTTTTTGTTGTTTTCTTTTTAAATGAGGCAATAGTACGTTTAACATCATAACCATTCTTTTCTAGTGCAACTTCAACTTGTTCTTCAGTCAATGTATCTGCAATTTCTTCAGGCAGAAACCCAAAGACATCTTCTATTAATTCTTCAATTTCTCTTTGAGATAATTCTTCTGATTCATCATAATACGCCATAGTCTTGTGTTTAAAAGAGTATTGATTTTCTTTTTAGTTTTTTCTCTTTTTTTTTAATTTTCTATTTTTTTCAGTCTATTTTTGAATATGAGGATTAACTGTTTGAAAGGAAATAAATTCATATTGAGAGGATTTGTTATTCTTCATTAATACTACAGTGAAATTTTGTGAAATCTCTCATAAAATGGTAATGATTTGTTTTTATCATTTGTTGATTAACAATAAAATTATTTGAAAAACTCATATTTATTAATATTTTATTATACTTCTTGAAACTATTGAAGAAAAGTATTGTCTATTTAAAAAGGTTAATATAAATTTATTAAAACATTATAATTGTTCATTTAAAGAAAGTAAATTTTAGTAGAAAGGATATAATAAATAAGAAAAAATGTATTTATTTACATAAATAATAAAATACATCAAATATCATTATAAACAATATGGTTTATACTATTACTATTTTCACTAGTAAATTATTAGTAAATAAATACAATTTCACAAAAATTCACAAAAGAATTTTAAAAGAATTTTATCTTGTATAAGTTTCTCTCATTCTTCATCTTGTAGTTCATAATAAATCAAATAGAGTAATTTACAGTGATTGGATGTTATCTAATTATAATAATATTTCCTTTTTTTGTGATACATGAAATATCTTGGATATTAATTTTTAATATTTTTTTTAAAATAACATTGTAGTATTAGTTCAATGATTAAAGTATAGATTGTCTTTATGAATTACTTAAAAAAATTGAAATTATAACTTCCAAATGATGATGATTGTAAATTTATGAATAATAATTTTTATATTAAAAATTGAACTAACTTTTAGAATTATTAAAAATTTGTTTTTTGAATGGTTCAGAAATAAAATAAATTAACAAATTCAGCTATGAAATACTTTTCTCAACTTAACATGAATTAATTGTCAAAAGTAGTTTATTGAAAATAAGGGGAAAACAGATTTATTAGTTTTTCATTTTAGTTAGAATAATTAAGGTGTATTAGTACTATAGTATGTTAAGATACCAAACATAACAATGACTAATATGTATTTAATAGAAGTATATAAAATCAATATTATTAGAAAAATTTTATAAAGAGTTGAGTGATAAATCTTCAATCCAAAAATAAAATATTATAAAATATGATAGAAGAAATAAAACTACTCAAATCAGTTTTATGTTATTTATGAAAATAACAAAAAAAAAATAATAATAATGATAATGATTTAAAAGAATAAATAAATTAAATCTATTGAAGATCTTTAAAAAAGACATAATGAATTGTAATTTAACATTATCATCTTCTACAACGTTAGATGATGATGACTCTTCTGTTGATATCATTGATATAGAAAGTATTACTCAAAATGAAATAGAATCAGTTAAAGAGATATTCAAAGCTATGACACAAAGAAGGTATGAAAGAAAATTCTTAGGTAGAGACCCTTTTTCAACAACAAGTAGAAAAATATCATTTTTATTTATTTTCTCATTAGGAGGATATTTACTTGGGTTAGTTATTAAATACTTTATTAATACAATAGAAAATGATCAGCAATCATCAATAGATGAAACAACAAATTCTTTTGGTTTATTTCTAATTCAACATTTAAATGAAATATTAATAATGATTGTAATGACTATTTCTATTACACTTTCTTTACACATTTTAAGACCTTTTATTGTAGTTTTAATGTTTGAATTATATTGGTTTACGATATTCTTCTTTTTATTAGAAGCATACAATTCATTTTCATTAACTGTTCTTTCAATATTAATATTAGTTATTGTTGTATTATTTACATTATTATTTTCAACATTCTTTTCAACAATATTAAAACATATTCCATTATTTATTTTTCTACGACCAACAATTGTTTCAGTAGAAGAATCATCAAAAGGATTTAGAAGATATATTCTTGAAACTATTAACTTTATTACTAGAAGAAAGAAAAAATATACACTTGAAGGTAAATTAAATAATAATTCATTGGAAGGAACTATTGTTTGGGTTGATAATCAAATGTTAGGTGAATCTTTAACAGGAGAATGGAAAAATAAGATGCTTGTAGGTCCATTTGAATCAATACTTATAGGACAACGATCATTAATTCATTCAGTAACTTTAATGGCATATAATTCTAAATTCTATCAAGGAATTCTTTCATTTTATTATTCATTAATATCTGTTGAATGTTGTTATTCAGGAACAATTCTTTATGTTTGTTTCTCATAAATTATTATTGAAATAAAATTCATCTTTAGAATTTACCAAAAGTAACTCAAATTTACAATAGAAAATGTCAATGTATCGGAGACTGTAGTTGTTGTAGAGATATTATTGGTGATATTCATAGTGTTAAAGAAACATCAACAATAGATTCATTAAATGTACAATTAAATGAAAATACAAATATGATTAATGTTTCTTCTTCATCAAAAGAATTAAATGAAGTAACTTTAAGAATAAGTAAAAGAAATGATTCA